TAACGTGGGTGGGTGGGTCGGAAGAGAGTTTTGGAAAATGTTTTCCTTAAGTTTTGAAGGGAAGTCATTTTCCTTAAATTTGAGAAAAATGAGTTGATTTGGAAAATATTTTCCAAAACATTTAACCCAACCAAACATGAGAGGATTGGATCCTCTTGAAAAAGAAAAACCTAAGCCCCCAGGTCGCTCTTCATCTCTCTTTTGGCGACATGAAGCTTTGAGTACTGCCATGGCTGTGGGAGAGACGTCTTCTAAGATCAATTATGCATCTCTCCTTCATGCTAATTCATCTTCTAAATCCGTAATCAAAACAATTTTAAATCCAGTTGAGTTGGTTCATGGCAAACTAACTATCAAATTTACTATGGATGAGATTGTTGAATTCACAAGGGAAAAAGGATTACGTCAGGCGATCGTTATCAAATTCTCCTATGGTCATCCTGATTTGAATGATATTTGCACTTTAATACCCAAGTAACTTGGGGTTAAAGGCAACTATTTGGTAGGTTGGCTTGCTGATAGACACTTCTTAATCAAATTTTAATCAATTTGAGGACTTTGTAATAGCACTTTTTACTCATGTATGTTATTTGCAATTCAAGAGAGAAGAAATTTTATATATGGTGTTTCCATCGTCACATTGGTTCAACCCTAATGAAGAAATCTCATGAATTTCTTTCTCAAGCCTTACACGTAATATGTTTGCAAGAAAAGAATTATTATACATTGCTTCATCCGTTCGAAAACCTTTAGCAATTGATAAAGTGGCACATATTAGATCCAGACCTAGTACGACAAGAATGAAGATTTTGGTTGATCTTCTTGATAACCATCCAAAAATAATGATATTTCATCTTTCATCTGAAAACCTAGCGAATGGTGCTCCTAAACGACGGCCATCCACCGCCGGTGGGTGGTATTCATTTTTCAATTACAGATTTCCCAGCACTAAACGAATCTGCTAGTATTGATCCCAAAAATCCCAAGTTGTCTGTAGAGAAGTCTTTTGCCAACTCTCTCAATCAAACAGAACAACAATCAAATAAAGCATTGCGCAAAGAAGTTTCAGTAGTTGGAGGAATATCGCAAATAAAATGGACTGAAGAAGAGATAGAAAGGATGAATCAAATTGAAGACCTACAATTTGCAGTGATCGGAAAGTTTACATATGAATGGTCTGACTTGGAGGAACTAAGGAGAATTATTCCTCAACAATGTGAAATTAGGGGAGGATGTCAGATTGGATTACTCTGCAGCAAACACATTCTTATACGTCTGACTCAACAAGAAAAATTCATTAATATGGTATCAAAGGGGGCCTTCTACATCACAAGCAGAGATGGATATTCATATCTTATGCGTACACTAATCTATGACTCTAGGTTTAAGGTTAATGAGGAAACATCAATGGCAATGGCGTGGATCTCGTTTCCTAACCTATTACCCTTTTTTTTTTGTCAAAGAATGTATATTTTCTTTAGCATCAGCAGTGGGTAAATCGATCCAACTAGATTAAGCAGCCATTAATAAGACGAGACCAAGTTGTGCGCGTGTGAAGGTGATGGTGGATTTAAAAGGTGAGTTTCCGAAGGCAGTGGAGATGTAAATAGAAAATCAAGTCACTGGAGAAATAAGGACTAATATGGTTACTATAAAGTATGATTACGTTCCGCAATACTGTATACAATGAAAAACGCAGGGTCATAACAAAGATGAATATAGAAGCACAAATATATCCAAAAAAAAACAGAAACCAATGATCAGCCGCTGAAAGAAGTTGCTCAAGAGAAAATTGGTCCAGTTCACACAATTCAAAAAGGAAAAGCTAAAGTTCTCTCAAGCGGCAAAGTAGTTGGGGATCCTGGACACTGGAATGTGGTGCGAGATAACAGAAAAAATAGAAGCAATAAGGAGAAACTTGATAATCAAATGACAGTCACAACAGAGAACTCTTTTGATGCTCTCACGCAAGAGAAGATCACACAGGCAGATGTCAACATAGACAACAGTTCCAATACAAAGCAAGACAAGGGGGTAGAAAACGAGCAGCCCATGTCAGCAAAAGAATGGGTAATCAGGTCCTTTGGAAAGGTTTTGCAAGGAGAAGCCTCGACGTCTACAATTCCTGTGCAGCATGACAATATGGATCAAAATCAGCAACACAATACACATGAAAATGAGCATGGCAATGAAAATCATGAATCAGTTAATATGGAAGATAAACAACAAACCTGTAGAGATAGTTGGGCAGTGGTAGTTTATAACAAACACAACAATCAATTTCCTCAAATCTACAATGAAAAGAGAAGGGAAGATAGAGGGAATATTGATAATAAGTTGGCAATAGTAGTTGATCCTACAGATTGTCAAATTAAAGAAGCACAAATCCTGGCTATAAGGGAATTTCCAAATAAAGTTCTCTATGATATTATCACTCACAATGTGGAGGAAAATGCATTGTTGGAGATAGAAGGCCTTGGAGTGACTACTAAAGTAAGCAAGGAAGATGATGATGATGTTTTGGCTCACATAGACAAAGAGGCAGATTTATCTCCTAGAATCTTGAAGGCTGCAAGAAAAGAGAAGAAACAAGGGAATGGAGATAGTGCTCAACCCATCAGAATACAACCAAAGAGATATAAAGCTTATAATAGATGATGAAATCATTTATTTGGAATATAAGGTCAGTGAAGTCACAACAAGCGTTTCAAAGGGTTCAAATGTTACACAATTTTCACAAGTTCTCATTTATTGCTCTCCTAGAGCCTTTTCAAGACAGTAGACATATAAACAAGTATAGAAGGAGGTTAAGAATGCCTTTTGTTACTTCTAATTGTAATGGAAAAATATGGGTCTTTACTAATCATGATTTTGACATTATAGTTGTTAGTAACACAGATCAACAGTTGACTCTTAATTTAAAGCACCAGACTCAACAACACAATTTTTATGTTACTATTGTGTATGCCAAATGTAGTGCTGTTGAAAGAGTATCGTTGTGGGAGGATATATATCACTTGACAGATGACATGAATAGCTCTTGGCTTATTGGAGGAGATTTTAATGTTGTATTGAATGCTGAAAAAAAGATAGGGGGTCTGCCGGTGGAAGATATTGATCATGAGGATTTTGATTGTTGTATTGAAACCTGTGAATTATATAAAGTTCAATACAAAGGGAGTCCATTTACATGGTGGAATGGTAGAGCAGGTAGTGATTGTATATTTGAGAGGTTGGACAGAATACTCATCAATTAAGAGGTGAGTAATTGGTTCAATCACATTGAGGTGGAACATTTACCAAGGACTGGATCAGACCATGCCCCTATGTTTATTACTTGTGAAGAAACCAACCCTATAAAGAAGAAACCTTTCAGGATCTTAAAATTCTGGATAGAGCACAAAGAGTTTAGGAGGTCGTGAGACATAATTGGGTTGCTAATACTATTAATCCTTTTATAGCTTTTAAGGAGAATATTAAAAGGGTTAAAACTGTTCTAACTAGATGGAGCAAGGATACATATGGAGACATTTTCAAACAATTAATCATCAGGGAGGATATAATGAGAATCAAAGAGAAATTGTTTGCAGATGTGCCAAATGAAATTAATAGAGCAGTTTTGCAGAAGGCTGAAGCTGAATTTAAAAGATATATTCACTTTGAAGAAATCTATTGGCAACAAAAAGCTGGATATGAATGGTTTGATAATGGAGATAGAAATACCAGATTTTTTCATAGTATAGTAAAGGGAAGAAGAAAAAGGCTACACTTGCAAAGAATTCATAACAGACAGGGGGTATGGTTTGAAGAAGAAAAGGCTATAGCGGTTGAATCCATTGACTTTTATCAAAAGCAATTCACACAAGAGAGGGATGCTAATTTTCCTTTACTAAGGCATATTCCCACTTTGATTAATGCGGAGGAAAAATCAGTTTTATGCAGAATGCCAGAATTAGAAGAGGTAAAGAATGTTGTATTCAAGCTTAATGGAGACGGTGCTAGTGGTCTTGATGGTTTGACAGGGATAGTTTACCAAAGTTGTTAGGACATTATTGGCATTGATATTCTAGCTATGGTACATGATTTCTTTCAAGGTAATTCTTTACCACAGTCCATTACTCATACCAACCTAATTTTGTTACCAAAGAAAGATAATGTACAGTCCTTTTCAGATTTGAGGCCAATCAGTTTGAGTAATTTTATTAATAAGGTCATCTCTCGAATTGTGCATGATAGACTTGAGTCTCTGCTTCCAAGGTTGATTTCAAGTAATCAATCTGGTTTTGTGAAAGGGATAAATATCATTGAAAATGTTCTGCTGACTCAAGAGATTGTTACAGATATTAGAAAAAAAGGTAAGCCTGATAATGTGGTAATTAAGCTTGATATGGCCAAAGCTTATGATAGAGTATCATGGTTTTTTTTAATGAAAGTATTAAGAAAAATGGGCTTCTCAAATGATTTGGTTGACATAAATTGGAGATTGATTTCCAATAATTGGTACTCTATACTAATTAATGGACAATCACATGGCTTCTTTCATTCAACCAGAGGAGTGGAACAAGGAGATCGTCTATCTACGGCATTATTTATTCTATCAGTGGAGGTTTTATCTAGGTCTTTGAATGCTTTGTTTGATGATGTGCAATATGTAGGGTATAGTTTACCAAAGTGGAGTGCACAAATTAACCACCTGGCTTATGCAGATGATACCATCATTTTTGCCTCTACTGATAATTACTCATTGAATAAGATAGTTGATACTTTGCAGGAATATGAAGGGGAATCTGGACAGCAAATTAATAAAGAGAAAAGTGCATTTTATCTTCATCAAAGTACTGCCACAAATATGAGAGTAGTGGTGGAGGAATGTACAAGTATGTCTAGGGGTCACTTCCCTTTAAAATACTTAGGTTGTCCCATAACTCATGCTAGGAAAAGAAAAGAGCATTATGCAGATCTCATCAGAAGGGTGAAAGATAAACTTCAGGTTTGGAAAGGTAACATGCTCTCTTTTGGGGGTAAAGAAGTTTTGTTGTCTAGTGTGTTACAAAGCATTCCTATTCATGTACTTTCTGCTATTGTTCCTCCGAATTGTGTGATGAAATAACTTCATAGAATTTTTGCAAAATTTTATTGGAGTAACAAGCTTACAGGTAGAAGCAAACATTGGGCTGCATGGGAAAATGTGTGCTTGCCAAAAAATGAAGGAAGTTTGGGTTTTAGATTTATGGTTGATGTATCTAAAGCTATGTATGCTAAGCTTTGGTGGAAATTTAGAACTCAAAATTCACTATGGACAAATTTCATGCAGAATAAGTATTGTAAGAAGCAAATTCCCACACTTGTTCAATGGAAAGGTGGCTCACAAGTGTGGAAACAAATGTTGGAAAATAGAGAAATAATAGAACAAAACTTGTGGTGGGAACCTAAAGGAGGAACATCAAGTATTTGGTTTGACAATTGGACTAATCTTGGTCCTTTGTTTCTACATCTTACAGAAGTGCAAGGTTGCCATTCTTTGGATGATATTGAGGTTTTTTTTAAGGATACTGGATGGGATTATAATATTATGCAAGAGTATTTACCTAATCATATTGTGGATCATGTGAGACAAAGTATGAGCAGGGTAAGACAATCAAATCAAATGGATAAACATTGGTGGATAAAATCTAGTACTGGCAAGTTCACTGTAAAGTCTGCATGGGAGATTTTTAGAAGTAGAGATGAAGTTTCTGAAAACTTTAAGAGAATTTGGGTGAAGGGGCTACCTTTCAAAATTTCTTTCTTTGGTTGGAGGGTATGGACTTACAGAGTTCCTATTGCTGATATCATTTCTTCATGGAATCCTAACATTTCTCCCTTATGTCAGTGTTGCAGGGTTCCTATAAGAGAAACTATTGAACATCTTTTTCTGTTAGGTGAAGTGGCAACTTATATTTGGGATCATTATGTAAGGGCTGCTGGTATACTAGGTCCTTGGATACAAGTTAAATATACCATGAAAAAGTGGTGGGTGGCACAAGGTAATACTAGGCTGAGAATGGTTTTTCAAGCAGTTCCTAACATTATTCTGTGGTTTCTATGGAAGAGGAGGAATACTATCTTACATGGAGGGGTCTATATTAGAAACAAGGTAATTTGGGATATCAATGCTACTATCCACAAGTTTATTAGGTCTAATTTTCACTTTGATCATATTCCTAATACTTGGCCTCATATGGTAGCTCTTCTGGAAAGGTTCAGACATGTGGTTCATTCTAAAATTGTTAAATGGATTCCTCCTCCTATAGACTGGCTGAAATGTAATACGGATGGGGACTCTAGAGGGAACCCAGGTCTCAGTGCTTCTGCTTTTTGCTTAAGAAATCATAAAGGCAAGTTTTTGGGGGCTAAGGGGATGAAAATTATTGATTCCACAACTTTAGTGGCTGAAGCTAAGGCTATAAGTGAAGGTTTACAATATTGTTTAGAGAATCATTACTCTAACATTATTATTGAGACTAATTCTTTGGCAATGGTTAACATCATTAATGGAGTCTAGAAAATTCCTTGGAGTGTGAGTATTGAGGTTGGCTCAATTCACAGAATAAGAGATCTCATTTCAGTAAGAGTACAACACTCCTTAAGGGAGGGAAATACTCTTGCTGATTTTTTGCTAACTTGGTTTTCAATTTTGCAGGTACATATTAATTTAAGTCAGATCAAGATGTTCCTAGTGAAGGCAGGAAAATTATCATGATGGACAAAGGAAACACTCCTTACATTAGGACAAAACAAATCAGCAGTTCTACTCAATAGGAGACTGATTTTTTAGGACTATTCCTACAATGTTACTATCTGAATCTTAAGTGAAGCTATACGTATTAAAATTATTGGGAATGTTTTAAGTCTGAAGCAATTTCATTTGGTTGACAGTACTTGCACCTGGTGAGAGCTTTGAGGTGTTCATATGGTACTAAATCAGGACTTTAAACGTTCAAATAGTTAATTATCTATAAGCTTAGCTATATTCGGGTACCTATATCACTGATTGAATAGAGCTTTGAAATTATTATCGATGGCAATATCTAAACTTTTATTGGTGGTATTAATTCCATATGTGGAATTCACTCCATTGAAGTATAGATATTAAGATTGAAATAATTTCTACTATTACGAGCTTACCTGGTATAGTCGACTGCGGTTAGCTACAAGCGTCATTTTCAAATTTGACCGGGGTCACCAAGAAGACACAACTTTAACAATGAAATCTTTGGGATTTCTAATCGTTTTTAGCACTTATTGGCTATAGAAGAGGCAGATACAACTCTCGAACCTCCAGATGAACAGATCGGGTGGAGCTTCATCTGCAGAGGAGATGAATCCCAAACTCGATCACTAATTCTTTGATCTGTGATTACATGAAGTTCATCTTGGTGGGCTGACCTCTGAATCGAAGGTGAATGGCAGCATTTGAGCTTGGTTGAAAACTTCATCCTAGCTTTGTCCCTTCATTTCCATCGGTGATATCCATCTCCACTTCGCTAATTTTCTTAGCTGATTTTTGTTTGTTTTATTCTTTATTTTGGGCTGTCACTTTTGGACCAGACCCTTGTAAATAGTTGTTTATTTTCAATAATAGGGCCTTAGAGCCCATCTTTGATTTTTTTTTTAAAAAAAGTATCCAAAAAGAATTAAGTTATTTTATTTGGATGAAAAATCTAGAAAAGTATTAGATCAAGAAGTCGTGTATGATGTTCTTCCCTTGTATTGTACAATTCGTAAACATCAAGGACATGAGATGAGTTCTTTTCGTCATAAATCCAAATATGATGTTCAAGAAGGTCTTGTACAACTTTCTCTAAAGGCCAACAATGCTGAGAAATTGAAAGGGGATGGATGCAAGATCTTTTTTGAATGCAAAGAGGGATGGAAACCAAATGACTGAACTATTTCCACAAAGTAATTAGCTTCAACTAATTTAAATGTTGTTAAGGTTATGCAAAATGCTACAATTGAAGTTCATAATAATGCTACTAATTTGATCGATGAACGGATTGTCGAATTGGGGCAACAACTATCTCAAAACAAAAGTGTTACAAGTGAGAAATCCAACTTAATTAGCTACTGTGGCGGCGTCAAAATCAGCGGCTGGTACATTGTCAGTGGTGAAAGAGGCATCCATAGCAGATTCGGGTAGAAACTAATTGCTACAGGTGATGGTGTAGTTACTGAAAAATTTAAGTTATGTAAGGCTAATTTTGTTGAACGGGGAAATGATGAACAAGGGAAACTAACCGCTGATAACACTATTTTGCAAGCTGAAAAGTGCAACAATGAAGAAGATAATAAAGATGAAAATTGGACTCTAGTTGCATATAAAAATTCAGTTGGTAGTCAGTCATATACGTTCCCCGACTAGTCGAAGTAATCTCCAAGACATGAAAAGGGTGATATTGAAAACTTTCAGTTGCATGTCAATCCTAATTTAAATTTATCAACTCAGAATGCTTTTGAACTATTGGTGTAATATACTACAAATAGGGCTGGACATAATACGGTTAGAATCGAAAAAACCGACCAAACTGATTTTTTTAAAATTTCAATTTTTCGGTTATTTCGGTCAGTTTCGATTTCAATTTTTAATATTTCAGTTTTTCGATTCGGTTTTCGATTTTTAGCTTAAAAAAATTGGTTAACCGAAAAAACCGAAATTATTAGTATATATTCTTTACCCCCTTAAATCTTAATTAACTTTCATCCCATTCCCACTGCCCAGCCCAGTCGTCCCAATCATAGTTGATACCCACAACCTTAACATCAAATTCCAATCAAAATTCAGCCCATGCCTAGCCCAAATTCCAATCAATATTCAAAAATTCCTAAACTGATTTCCCTAACATCAAGTCATCTCTCATCTCTCAAAATATGCCACAACCCTCATCTCTCATCTCTCATCTCTCATCTCTCAACTTTCGTCACTCGTAAGTCGTAAGTCGTCTCTCATCTCTCAACTCTCGTCTCAGTTACGACTTAGGTCGCAGGCTCGCAGCTCGTCTCTCA